GGGCTTTAACAGGCAAAGAGTAGAGAGCCTACTTTTCTGTGGGAGAGGTGGGCTGGAAGTGAGGATTGCTTTTTAAATGCACAGGTTATGCAGCAAGAGAAGCATTGGGTTTTTTTTTTTTTTTGTTTTTATTTGTTTTTAATTTGATTTATATGCCGCCCTTCTCCGGAGACTCAGGGCAGCTTATAACGCGTTTGATCAGGCATCCCCATTCAATAGGCCCTCTTTTAGGAACGCCACGTTTCTTTTGCCCCGATGCCTAAAGAGGAACTATTGTCATTCACGGGATTCTCCCAAAGAAGTGGAAGTCACCCTAGAAGATCTCAGCAGCCTGGAAGAGGACTCCCTGGACTCCACTCTCTAATTCAAAGAGGTATCTATTTCAGGTTCTTCATGGATCACCGCATTGTCATGTCGAAAAATCTTGTGCAACTCAATGAAGCAATGAGCCATGCTGTGCAGGGTTACCCAAGACAGACAGTTCATAGTGGAGGGTCCTAACACAAGGTGACCCAGTGGAGAAGGAAGTGGCAACCCTCTCCAGTATCCTTACTAAGAAAACCCAATGAAAGGTATCAAAAGGCTACACGCTATGATGCCAGAAAATGACCCCCTCAGATTGGAAGGTGCCTAATATGCTAACTGGGAAGACCAGAGGGGAATTAGAAGAAACTCCAGAAAGAGCAGAATTCTGCAATTGATCCGAGAACAGGTAGGGCAGGGAAAAGGCGGGAGCAGTGAAGTTCAGTCCGATTACTTGTGAGATGTAAATCTCGCCCTTCTTGATGGGCTGCACCAGAAGTTGGCTGGACTAGAAGACCTCCACGGTCCCCTCCAACCAGGGCCGGATTTTCCTATAGGCTAACTAGGCTTCAGCCTAGGGCCTCAAGATCAAGAGGGGCCTACACAGTGGTGGGATTCTGGGGTTTCTAGGGGGTTCGGCCGAGCCCTTTGTTAAATTGCTGGCTCCCCCGCCCCTCGCCTCCCACCCGCGCGGCGCCAGCCTACCGTAGCCAGGGGTGGGCAATTGTGGCTCTTTTACAACCTGTGGACTTCAACTTCCAGAATTCCTGAGACAGCTTGGCTGTCTGAGGAATTCTGGGAGTTGAAGGCCACAGGTTGTAAAAGAGCCACAACTGCCCACCCCTTCCCTAGCCTGAGTTCCGCTGTCTGGGATCCACGTGGGCTGCCACGTGGTTCCCCACCGGCTCTGGATGCAAGAGAGCAGGATGGAGAAAGCCGCTTCCACGCCTTCACTCACCCTCACTCTCTGCTCTGTTGGGTTGCCGGCCGTTCGCTTACACCCCCCACTCCCTATCTATTGCTGCCTCCGGTGGCTAGAGGGAAAAAAAACTTCAAATTCTTGCCGCGGGGCTTCAAAGGGCTGCCCTAAAGCCAGTGCTGCAGCCGAACCCTTTGTTAAATTGCTGGCTTGCCCCGCCCCTCCGCACCACTATTTATTGCCAATAAATAGTGGTGGGCGAGGGGCGGGGGAGCCAGCAATTTAACAAAGGGTTCGGTGTTTTTTTTGTAATTTTATTGGCCCCCGGAGCTTCAGCATAGGCTAATTAGCCCTTGCTTAGATCGGCTCCCGACCCCCAGCTGATTTGCTCTCAGCTGTTTTGCTCACGGATCTGCTCCTTGCTTGCAAAGAGTGCTGATTTTTTCCCCCCTAGCTATATTGAAAAACGAAAGAGAAAGTAAAGCAGGCTGTTGGCTTTGCACGTTGGAAAATTAGGCAGGCAGATTTCTTTTTCCTCACCAAAAAAGGTAGGTGCAAACAACATGAAATTTAGGGAAAAAGAGGAGATTTTAAAATACAAAAGAAAAAAAGCTCTATTTAACTAGGGAATTGTAATAATTGAGATACTATTAATTGTATATTGTGTTGAAAGCAGAAATGGTTAAGTTGTGGTTTGGAGGAATATATGGGGGAAATTATTTGGTTTATTATTATTGGTAAATATAATTAATTGATTTGTAAGAAATTGGATTGCCTGGAAATAATTGGAATATTCATGTTCATATTGATTAATATACAAAAAAGGTAGTTTTATAACTAATTGATTTATATTAAAATGTTGAATTCATATTAAACAACTGTAATATTACATAATTAACCAATGTGAGGATGGATATAAAAATAGATGACAATGGGAAGGGGTATAATATAGAATAGAAGGGAAAAATTGAATTTGATTAAGATTAGAGATGAGGATGAGGGTAATATTGGTTCTTTACAAAAATAGATGAGGAATAAATATGGCAAAAAGGAAATATAGAAATTGTAAATTTAATTGAAATGACTAAACACTGTTTAAATTTGTGAACCGGCCAAATACTCTGTTCAAAGAAAATACACTGTATGTTTGTATGTGTGTTTCTAATTATTGTTATTTATTCATATTTGTTCTCTTTTATTCTTTAAAGTTTAACAATTCATTCTTTATCTTAATATCTTTATATTTGTTTGGGGTTGGCTTTCTTCCCTTTCATCTTTTTTATTGTACAGCAATCTTTCTTCTCAAACCTACCACCTCTCTTTTCTTTCCTTCTTACTTTCTCTTCCTCCCCCTCTTCTTCTCCTCCCTACTTCCTCTTCCTTTCTCCTTCCCCTCCTCTCTTCCTCCCTCTCTCTCCTACTCTAATTTCCCTTCCCTTCCTTCATCCCTCTCTATTGCTGTATCCTTTTATGCATATGGACTACTCAGAGGGCTGAAAAAGTTATTTCTGACTGGTCCTCGCACTTTTGACCAGTCCTCGAACTTACGACTGTCCTCACATTTTACGTTTTTGCCCTATCTTGTCACCATGGTGAAGAAAAGCAGTTGTGAAATGAGTGACATGGTTGTTAAGAAAGCTGCACGGGCATAAATGTGAGGATGGTCATAAGTGTGAGGACCGGTCAAAAGTGCGAGGCCCAGTCAGAAATGACTTTTTTCAGCCCTCTGGTTAGTCCTTTTGTGCATATGGACTACTCAGAGGGCTGAAAAAGTTATTTTTGACTGGTCCTCGCACTTTTGACCAGTCCTCAAACTTACGACTGTCCTCACATTTTACGTTTTTGCCCTATCTTGTCACCATGGTGAAGAAAAGCAGTTGTGAAATGAGTGACATGGTTGTTAAGAATGCTGCACGGGCATAAATGTGAGGATGGTCATAAGTGTGAGGACCGGTCAAAAGTGCGAGGCCCAGTCAGAAATGACTTTTTTCAGCCCTCTGAAAAAAGTCTATGCACATAACCACACCCACCCGGTCACATGATTGCCAAGCCACACCTCCAACTAAGCCACGCCCACAGAACCTGTTGTTAAATAATTGAATCCCACCACTGGTGAAAGGGCCTCATAAGTGGAATAGCCTAGGGCCTCTTTTCATCTAAACCCGGCCCTGCCTCCAACTCTGTTATTCTGTCTGCCTATAGGACGGCTTCAGCAAGGGAGGGATGGAGATGGAGGGCAGAATCACCCCCACCTACAAAGCCCTGCACGGAGCTTCTTTTCCCTGGATGGGGATGGGTGGATGTCTTTTTGTTGTTTTCCTTTTTCTTATTGTTATTGTTGTTGCTGATCTTGTTCTTGTTAGTTCTGAGATTTTTTTCAATTTGTTATCATTTGATCTATATTGTTAATGCTAAAAAATAAAAGCAACACTTAAATAAAGTTGTTCATTGACCACAATTATTTTCCTTTAGCTATCAATGTAGCATTCAGTGGGTAGAATGATCAATAACTGTATAACGTTGTATACAATAACACTACAAAAACACTTTATATACACTAATTTATATTTAGGCCTATTGTCATTTCACTTTTCTTAGGGACAGGATGGACTTTAGAACCTACAACTCTCAATGACGGAGAGCAGCTACCATATTAGATAATTAGATAAATGGCAAAAACCATGGCTACTGCATATAAGGAAAATCTGTATAAAATGTTTTATAGGTGGCAATTGCCACCGGCAAGGCTAGCAAAAATGTTCAACACCATGTTCGCCAAACGTTGGAAATGCAATCAGACTCTAGGTACTTATTATCATACAGTATGTGGTAGACATGTAGGAAAGGAATATTGGATGAAAATACATACATGGTTGGAAAAGATGATTAAGCAGCATATGGATTTAAAACCAGAAATATTTTTGTTAGGTATAATACCGAAAAGCTATGACATATTGCAAAAATGAGAACACCCCATCTGATGAAAATATAATTTAGAAAATATTGGATTGTGTAGAGATGGATAGATTGACATTGAAAATAAAAGATAAAGGAGATTCAGAGTATTATTTAATGTGAAATAGGTTCTTATCAATGGTTAGAGATAAGAGGTAGACATTAGATGAAGAAAGAGCATTACTATATTCAAGTAAAATATGAATGTTGTATATAACTATAAGTCTGCTAATATCAATAGATAACCTGGCACGAAGAATTTCCATGCATGGCGATTTCAATTAAACTGTAAACAAAATTTCTACTGCAAATGAATGGCAATGTAGGATATCTTGCTTCAATATTGTCCTCTCAGGAACCTTGTTAATTGGTACTACATTTTCAATTGAAAATGGTTGCTTCAAGTTTACTTCAAGAATGCTTCAAGAATTGAGAACATAAGAGGACCACAAAAGTTCACTCTTCTGCATTACTCACAATTGTTTCCCAGAAACTCAGGAATATAATTTGTTTTACTTTGGGTGTAGAGTATGCACTGAGCTGAATATTATTTCCTTAGGCTCTCCGGCACTTGAGAAATCATTAAATAATGATCCGAAGATGTGGAAAACTGAACTCAGTACCCTCTGCATGAAAATATGCTCTGCCATTTCTTTTCTTAAATGGAGCACCCAGAACTTCTGAAGGCAAATCATTCCACTGGTAAATAGTGCTAGCTGTTAGGAAATTTCTCCTTAGTTCTAGGTTCCCTCTCTCCTTGATTAGTTTCCCTCCATTGTTCCTTGTCTTGCCTTCTGGTGCTTTGGAAAATAGCTTTACTCACCATAGTTGCTCAGAAACTCCAAATGGTCTCCCCTCTTTTTTGTGCCTCAGTATCACCATCTAAATGGGAAAGAAAATCATCTTGAATTCCTCTGTATGATGGTCAGACTGACCTTCTCTATTAGGAATCATAAACCCATCTGTTGAAATTGCGCCCCCAAAATGCTATTGGCACATGGTCACTAAGGAACTCTGGCAACTTCTATCTGCACAAAAACACCAAACAAAGCAACAAAACAGTAAAATATGCAATATGCAAAAGGAGGTTTCTAAAACTGCTAATCTGAGGCCCTTCCTTACTTCCTGCCTTGGTTCCTCAGTGTGCACACAATGAAGAAAAGCAGGAGGGGGAGCATCCCTTCTCTTCCTCTAACGATGGCATCGCTCCTCTACCGCAGAGGGAAGGAAAGTTTTGCCATACGGCCGCTGGGGAGGTCATGCCTGAAGTCTGACTGGGGCTGGGGAGGAAATCTCTCCCGGGGAGCCTGGCCAGGCCGGCAACCTCAAGAAGAAGAGCCCCTTGGATTGCAGCTAGACTTTTGGTGGCGCAATATTGGAAGAAGGAAGATTGGCCTACTATTGAAGAATGGACATTAAAAGTAGCGAATTTGGCAGAAATGGCGAAGATTTCGGCATATTTGAAAGATCACTCACAAGAAAGATATATATCGGAATGGAGAAGATGGATTGATTATATTCAAAACAAATATCGGACTAAAAGTATCAAATAGCTTATGAATGAATAGAAAAATTAAGAGTATTGATGCTTAGTTAGTAAAAGGGGAGTTAAATTGTGAAGGGGGGGATAGGAATCCTTAGTTTATTAGCTTAGTTTAGCATATGATTGTCAATTGTATACCCTGCATTTTGTTCTGGGAAGTTCGGGGGAGGGGCGGTGGGGGGGGATAAGGAAGGGAGGGAGGGATGGGGAAATACTTGTAATTTTTTTTTCCTTTTTCTGTAAAACTGTTTAATAAAAAAAAAGTCAAACATACAATAAATTTGGAAAAATGGGAAACGTTTTGGCAAGTAAATATAAAATTAACAAGAGCAGTGGCGTACAAGGAAAACCAACTGAAAATGTTTTATAGGTGGCACATAGGTCTCCAACCAGACTGGCAAAAATACAGCCCAAAAATAGCCCGATCTGCTGGAAGTGTAAGAAGACAAAGGGACCTTCTATCATTTATGATGGACATGCCAGGCAGCAAAGAAATTTTGGTCTAACATCAAAAAATGGTTGGAACAAATAACAGAAACACAGATAGATAAAGAACCAGAAAAGTTTTCACTAGGAATTTTTAATAAATCATACCCTAAAGATATTAAATATCTCACAATTCACATACTAACAGCTGCAAGAATAATATATGCAAAAAACTGGAAACAAGAAAAAACGCCAAACGAAACAGATTTAATAGAAAAAATTCTAAATGCGCTGAAATGGACAGGTTAACCAAAGAAATACAAGAAAGAGAAGAATCAGACTACTACAAAATATGGACTAAATGGTATAATTGGTTAAAAATTAGGAATAAACAAAAAATCTAGAGGGGAAATATTACCGGTATAGAAAACGTCATTAGACTAAGGAGAGGGGAAGAAATATATAACAAGCAGAATGTCACTTGGAAACAATGCTTAAGAAGGAAACATAATTTCTTTTTGTTTATATGTTGTATAAATGTTTGTTGTGTTTATGTCATGTTATTTTTTTTAATATTTATACTCTAATAAAAATTTAATTTAAAAAAAAAAAGATTGGGCAATCATTTATCTGAGATGGCCAAGTCCCTTGGGTAGGGACTTGGACTAAAAGTCGCTTCCTCCCTAGGATGCCATGATTCCCTCTGTGCTTTGTGCCACAATGATGGGGCTTCTCTGTTGTTGGTGAACAGACAACTTCCCACAGGAAACCCAGAGGCCAAAGGCTACCGAGGGAGTCAGCCACCGGCCACTCCTAGATCCAGCTGAGCTGCCATCCTTGGGTAGGTATAAAAAATGGCTATTGTTTACCTGGTTGCCGAGGGAACGAGTTGCCCTGAAAAACCAGTAGCCACTGCACAGCTGCTCATTCTCCCTTCGTGCAGTGATAGGACGAGCACCTAGTTGGTCATGGCTGTGAGAAGGCTTTTCAGGGTAAGTGTGGCCATCTCAGCTGCCAAGAAACTGGCAGCGGGGGAGCAAATCAACTCTTCTGACTGACATGTGTCTATTTCTCTTCTCTTAACAGAACATCTGGAAAAGGTGTTCGCACCTTTTCTGTTGCCTGAAGAGCAACATTGAAGACCTTCCTGTGCCTCCTGACAGGTACCACCCTCTTCTCCTTAAACCCTGGCTATGGTGGGGCAACCTTGATGGCCTGCAGAGTCTGTAAGAGGCTCTCCCCAAAATGGCTTCCTGTCTAGAAGGGGCTTCAGGGGCCAAAAGATGGGCAGGCTGACTGGCTAGGTTGAGAAAGGAGAGGGTCAGCTAGATGAATGTTCTTTGACATGGCACCTTCTTCTTCTTTTGGTCAGCACCGAAGAGGCACAGGAACCGGATGACCAGCAGGGAGAATGGGAGACACATCATGTGTCTGATGGAGACGTCTCTTCCTTGCCTGGGGTAAGGATGCTTCTGCAACATGGGCAGTGGGGGTTCATACTTCAAAACTGGGTGGGGGAAGGGAAGAACTTGGGGGGAACCTGGCCAGCCTAGGAAACTGAAGAAGATCCCCTTGTTTCATACCTTCAATGAAACCATTGTTACTTGCAGGTTGTGATGGGTGGTCCTGCTACCGCCCGGAGTCCCAGGAAGGAAGATGTCCGGCCAGCTCTCATTTCCAGGAGGTTAGTGTTCTCAGCTGAGGGATTCTGGGGAGAAGGGCTAGAAGAAAGGTTTGCAGAGGGGAGGCATCTCTACCCTCTGCCTGCACTTTTACTAAAAGAAGAAGGACTCAAGCCCTTCGTTCTCTCCCCAGAAATGAGAGGATGCCGAAGTGGACACCGCGGCTGACTACAATTTGGGAGACCTGCACTGAGTCGGTAAGGCCAGAGTAGCTCCTCCCTATGGTAATGGCAGAGGCTCTGTCTCTGTGCATTTGTTAACATGCCAATAGACGGAATATTTGCCTTCTTATTTCAGGATCCATCGGACGTGGAGGAGGGAGGTGCAGGAGGAGACAGTGCCTGTCTTTCAGGGTAGGTAACACTTTTGAGGGTGAAACTTTAGCAGAAGGGAGGCATCTTTGCCTCTGCTTCTGCTAAAGGAAGAAGGACTCAGGGCAATTTCACCGGCAGGCCAAGCCCCTTGGCAGGCCACCTGCAAGGGTTCTTACAGCTTCCACATGACCACTCTTGCAAAAGGGCCATGGCTACTTTTGATCTTTGGCCCCTTTGTTTTCTCCCCCCAGAGAGGAAAGGCAAGAGCACTGGAGGCCGCGGCTGTCCACCAGTTTGGAGACCTGCACTGAGTTGGTAAGGCCTGGACACATCCTGCCCACGTGAAAAGAAGAAGCCCTGTCTCTGTGGATTTCTTGATATCCCAACAGACGGCATCTTTGGCTTTTTATTTCAGGAACCACAAGACCAACCAGTGCAGGGGGAGATCTCTCCTGACCTGGAGAAAACATCTTCAGAGGTAAGAAAATTTTGGGAAGTGGGAGAAATTGGGCTATACATCCTTCTAAGCTTAAGACTTGGAAAGGCTCTCTTGCTGTTGGCCCATAGGGCCATAGGAATCTTACTGGGACACAGAAAGTTGAGGATTTAGCAACCTTAGTATCATTTGCAGGATTCGCTGACAGTCCTGGCGGGCTCCAGGACCAGCAGCCTCTGGGATTTGGACCTCGACTCCCTTGCTGACCTTCTGGAGGAGGAATCTGAGGATAGCCGGGACCAGGATGCGGAGGCTTCTTCCAGTCCATGGGTAAGAAAGACAAAGGCTTTTCGGTTGGGGTGGTCTGGTGGGATCGGTTCCTTTGCCACAAAGTAGCAGGGACTGGTGTCCTAAATGGGAAATGTAATCCCCATTCAATAGGCCCTCTTTTAGGAATCCTGATTTTTTTTTCTCTGATGGCTAAAGAGGAATGACTGTCGTTCACAGGATTCTCCAGAGGAGGGGGAAGACACCCTGGAGGATCTCAGCAGCCTGGAAGAGGACATCCTGGACTCCCTGGACCGCCTTCTTCAATGAGAAGAGGTATCTATTTTACCTTCCTCACGGGTCAATGCCTTGCCTGGCGAAGCTCAATGAAGCAATGAGCTATGCTGTGCCGGGCCATTTAGGTCAGACAGGTCATAGTCGAGGGTGCTGACACAACATGGTCCACTGGAGAAGGAAATGGCAACCCTCTCCAGTATCCTTAGTAAGAAAACCCCAGGAAAAGTATCAAAGGGCTACCATGCTAGAAGATGAGCCCCTCAGATCGGAAGAGCGGAGGGCAATTACAAGTAGCTCCAAAAGAGCAAAGTGGTCCTAATAATAGCCTTTGATTCCTCCCCCAGATGCTTCCTCAGATTCGTCTCCAGAGGTCAGCTTGGAGGAGGAGGAACCAGCCCCAGCCACCTCAGGAGGTGAGTTGGTCAATGGCTCTGAGTAGCCTGCTGAGAATGATTTGGCTGAAACAACAGCTGCAGCAGGGCAGCCCTGAGATTTCAGGTGGGGAAAGCACCCAGCTGGTTAGTGAGGAGGAGGAGGAGGAACTGCCTTCTGCACCTGAACCAGGAACACTTAGGGCAGAGAAAAGGCAGGAGCAGCAAAGGTCAGCCCGATTACTTGCGAGGCGCCAGTCTCGCCATTCTTGATGGGCTGCACCCGAAGCTGGCTACTTAGCGCAGCAGACAGACAGCGGTGATGCTGGGAACGTGTTCATGAGCAGGGGGTTGGACAAGAAGACCTTCAAGGTCCCTTCCAACTCTGTTATTCTGTCTGCCTCTAGGACGGCTTCAGCAACGGAGGGTATTGTTGTGGTCCGCCACCAACCTGCGGAGCTGGCAGCCGAGTCGGACAGTGAGGAGGCGGAGGAAGAACACGGGCCAGTCCTGGAGGCTGGGGAAGGCCCGGATGAGGGCTCTGCGT